GACCTCTGGCTCCTTAGCGAAAAAGTAGCGTCCTTATCTCCGACCGTAGATGATGCTCGGAACTCCGGGTTCTCCTCTGCAAATGCGCGTATAGAATGACTCTATGCTCTCGACAGCACGTTGGATAACGCTGACCGCATGCTCGTCCTGCCTGCGCAGAGTCCAAGTCTCTGAGGCGTAGGTTAGGGCAGGAAGGACAGCGGAATCGAAGAGGTGGGCACGGAGCCGGATGTTCTTCGTCTTCTTCACTACTCCCTCGATGTCTCTTATACGCTCCCCAAGCCTCTATTTTCCTGCCTAATAATTCCCGACCTAGGTACACGTAGCTGGAGCATTCGGTGATGTTCGTTCCGTTGAGCGTGAATGGGGCATCAGAAACCAATCCGTTTCTCATAAACATCGTCTTCGTTAGGTTCAGCTGCAGACCAACCTTACCACAGGCGCAGTCGAAATCAGCCAGCATTCGGCGTTATGAGAGCGGCATGATAAGCAAACCGAAGGTGGTGGAGGTGCCCGTTGTCAATTCACTCCCATGCTTTCCCATTCCAGTTGACGCATCTTGGGGTATATGATAAATAGGCAGATGGACATGGCTATCGAAGAGATCCGAGTAGAAGTCGTGGATGACTTTCTCCATTGCCCTTCGGGATGCAGTAACTGTTCCATCCGGACGTCGGAGGCAGGTCATCTTGGTCTTGTAGCTGGCAAAGCTTCGGCGGGCATTGCGGATGCTCCTCCCAGCCTCTGCTAATACTGCTGCTCTTCGCTCCTTGAGATCTTCCTTTATCGCCTCTCTGCATAGCTTCGCAAGCTCGGACGTGAGTTGGTGATTGCCTGCAGCTCGTGCGGCTCCACGCTGGCGTATCAGCTCGAGAGTTTCCGGAGACAGACGTCCTTGGTGACTTTCAAACTCTCTGCCTTCCTGCCACTCTCGTGAAGGTGTTCAACGAGCCGATGATATTCCTCGTCGATGTTCGATAACGGAATCCTCCCATAAGCTGACAAGAGAAGTGAAGTGATCCCAGTTGATGACTGTCCTGGGGCTTCGCTTCCTGAACTTTGAGGCTCTCTCAACACGCATCGAAAAGTGGAATTTGCGCGGAGGAGACGATGGTCCGATCCCGTGTAGAACTTCGGAACAACAGCGACGTCGGTCAGGCAAAACCTTCGATTGAAGATGATGTGGTCTATCTCGTTATGGAACTGTCCATCAGGTGACTCCCAAGTCCAACGAAGGTGAGAGGGCTTTTGGAACTGTGAGTTACCATGGATGGTGTTGGTCGACATGATAAACTCAGACAGTCTTTCGCCCTGCTCATTCCATTCCATTCCGTGAGTACCGATGTGAAGTCTGACAATGACCATTAGGTATGATCTTCGCTGTTGAACCTCTCCATTCCATAATATTAGGTTGTCTCAGAAGTTCGTGCGTATTTTGAACTTATTTTTGAGCCTGCACTATTCCAAGCACGTGTGCAACCTATCATCATTATATGTACCACCACTATCAGTGACTTGTTACCAACATCCAACCAAAGATTGGCAACTTAACTCTCAAAGGGCTGGCAGTTATGAGCTGAAAAAGGCAGTGAGGTCGATTTTGAGGTGCTAATGGGAATCGTATTTTTTGTCGTCAAGAAGGCGGCTGAGCAGAAAGGGCAGATGTCTTTCGAAAGAGAATGACTACCGCTGCACGATGAATGTGGTAGGCCTTTTCAGCTGGGCTTCGATATTCAGAATCGCTTCATTATCGAAATGTGTGGCCTCGGGTGTTGTGGAGCGTACACACTTTTTCGAGTTTTAACGACATTTGTTGGGGTTTCACCGTGAGTCTCTGCCGTTGATCTCCCTACACTTGAGTGAATTCATATCTATAATGATTGACATGTCTCTAGTGGCTTACTCGATAACGCTCCAAAAGAGGTGGAGCACGACCTTGTGGTGAATTTCTTCACTTTTCACCCTCTTCTGTCCGATCTAGTCCCTGGAGATTCTAGGTGTGGTTGTCATGGAACCTGAGCTTCTCAACTGCAGTAGTAGCTTTGTTCAACCAGGGCGTACGGATGGAGCTGGACACAAATTGTAGACGGGACTCGTGCCGCACTCCTGTCATCAGTGATCAACTCATGAGGGAATCTTTGGTGAGGCTTCAACCATTCTACGAAGGAGCGAGAACCTCTACGCATTGTGCATCTGGAACACCAGGATGTGGTTGCCACAAAGCAGGTAGCCCCGTGTGGAGTGACTCCCACGAGAGAGCACAGATTCTCCAAATCCGACACTGATGGCCTCTCTGAACGTGGATTTTTCTACCGGCTGTAGTCTCCTGGGCAGAGAAGATCCAGCTATTCTGATACCTCACTGTTGGTGAGGGCGAGGAGATGTATCGCGATGCAGATGCCGCTTCAGGCTTCAATCGGTTTGTGGCTCAGTAGAGCTGCTTAAGTCAGAGCGCGAAAAACATAGCTCTTTTCTCTTTCCACTTTGAACTCGAAGAAGGCGACGATGGTGGGCAGGATTCGGGTATAAGCTACTGCACAGTGTGCCCTATCCACAGCCTACGTGAACACATTTTGAATTTGTTGAAGGAGCTTGTGGCATGAGATCCAAAAAATACGCACGAACTTTCGAGACAACCTAATACAAAATGTTTCGTGTTCCTCGTCGTAGCTGATGTTGGTGCGTAGGCGACGAAGATTGTCAAAGCAGGAGTTGAACCACATCTTCTCAATCTCAAACGTCCGATTCGGGTCGTAAGGCTTTCGTACGAATCGATGTTTATGGCCAAGTGCGTGTTGACGAGGACACCCACACCGCCAACGCCTCTGCTGTCGCATGTTCCAAGGAACAGTTCTTCTCCAGTATCGAAAACGGCGTGTAGCGGGCGGTGCCTTCTCGTCTCGGTCAGTCCGATGACGTCGTACTTGATCTTCCTGGCCTGCATCATCAGATCTTCGATGTGAGCTTCGGATGCAAGCGTCGGTGCGTTGAAAGTACGGATCGCCTTAGTACCTCTAGATTATCCGAGCCCTGAGATTCTAGCAGCCTCTCCCGAGCGGTCCTACCCAACGCTGCCGTATTGGGGGCTCCCTCAGGTTCAGGGGAATGAGGCCCATCCATATTGCTGTTTTCGGCATATTGAAGGCACACGAGTAGCTTGCCAGGCTCTGTCGTGTGGGCTAGGATAGACCTCCAGGTAGTTAGCCACGCTATCCTGGAGCGGAACAAGGGGCTTAGTTTTTGGAGGCGGCCCCGAATCGCCTCCCATGTACTTCCCAGTCACTTGAATGCAAGCTTTTGGCTGTGCCGACATGCAGGATACCAACCGCACACACACAGAGCGCACCACGCAAGCATGCATGGATGCGCCTGAGTGGAGACAGCTGGTATGAATCAACACAGCACTACAGAAACAGGGAGTCCATCCCCTGAATCCACCTGCGTCTCAGGGCAAGTACATGGCCCCTTGGTCCGCGATTTCCTTCCTTCCGCCACGTGGGATCGCGCTACGTTGCCTCGCCACTGCTCGGCTAGAGAACTTTCAAATCTTGAGGGAGGACCTTCAATGAGAATGAGCCGTGGATTGCAGTTGGTGTTACCCATGAACCTGCTGAGAACACCACGCGTTACACCAGCTGCCTGTCTTGATCGCCACAGCTACGACATGCTCTTGTGTGGAAGAAACTCAAATTCCGCAGTTTCTCAAAGATCAGGTATTTGCTTGCTTTATCAAGAACGAAAGGAATGAAGGACACCGTGTCCCTCGAGCGAGGAGGGTCCACTGGACAACTCTTGCACGCGACAGGGACGAATGGAGACGTTGCTGGCGCCCGCTCGAGCAATTCGATGATCAACGGGACGACAGGTGATACAGGTGATACAGGTGATCAAGAAGAGTATGCCCGAGAAGATAAAGCGGGCTAAGATAACCGCTGAATCGACCAAATCGGCTGCAAGTATAAAAGATTTGAGACTCCGACAACAACGTCGCCTTCCGGCTGTGGTTTAGACGTTTCTGAACTTTCGAAGACAGTATGAGTCGTTAAGCATCCCTTGAAAGCTATAATATCTACCGTAATACTCTGGCACATACTAGAAAAGAATGGGATTCAAAAAGTGCAACTCAAGAAATCTGAGGAGTATGTCTTATTTTACAGGACTTGTTTTCAACTACGTAAAGGAAATCTCGATTTTGAAATTAGAGTGGAATTAGACGCAGACAAAGAAGAAAAGTATAGGACGGGAGGTTAGTCATGGGTGGCAAGTTATTATTCCATACAAGGACTGATAATAGCCATGAAAAGCGACTTAAGCCGTTTGGACACGGTGAGCACCTGAATGAGCGTGCATTATGATGTTCCTGCTGTAGTCACGTACAATGCGCGACGTATTGACGCGCTTAAAGCGTGTGCTCGCATCCCCTTTATCGTTTTCTTTGCGCCCTCTCAACGGAGAGAGAATGTGTCGAGCAGGCCCGCGCAGAGTACTAAGCGCCGTTTATGTAGAAGGTGGTTGATTGCCAGACGACCAACTGCCGCCTCAGCCTCGCCGCGCTGAGAGGCGAATGCTGCGACGTGGCGCGGCGCTCAGGCCGCCCCGCACCAGCGGGACGGCGAACGCTGCGGCGTCGCTCTATTTTTGGATCGCTGCCCAGGATGGCAGGGTAGCGTCCTTGCACAGCAAAGTGGCGTCGTTGATTACGTTCGCTCTCACACTGTACGTGACTGCGGCCAAAGTATCATAATTGACGCCACATTCAAGTGCTCACCGTGTCTAAACGGCTTAAGCCTTGAAAAGCCAAAAAATTGACGCTTAATCTGCTGCACCTCCGCTTGAAGGTACAGCAATAGGAAAGATTGCTGCACGTTCTAAAATCCCATGAATGGGAAATGAAGATCGAAAGCAACAAAAGGAGTCTCACGCGGTGACGGTTTCATAATTTCTCCATTCATCCAATCCGGCATTTGGTATTCAGTAAAGTTAATACAAGTGTCCTCCATCCATAATCGCGCTGCTTTGCGGAAGGCATCTTTAATCTCTTCGTCTGTAAACAATGGAGATAGTTTGGGAAACTCCAAACGCAGTGCAAAAAACCCTTAGAGCAACTGACTTATAGCATAGTAATCAAACATGTATGGGACTCCTTTTGACCATAACTCTGCCTTCCATCCTTTCGGTCCTTTCGTATCAATGGCTTGCCGTTTAGTGCGGGTTCCGCTGATATCGGCAGCAATTTGGTCTTGTTGTTCCCTTAAGATGGTACAAATTTCAGGGCAAAATCTGAAGAAGCAGAATAGCATACTTTGTAAGGACAATATCTCCCTGGAACAGTGCGTCTGCAACTCCACTTTTCATGTTGACCTCCACAATCGAGTCTCCCATTGGTTGAATTTCATCATCAATTTCTCTTTTGAACTGGTGCGAAATATCCAACCTCTGGTTTGCGATTTCTTATAAGGATTCACTTACCTTCGATTCTTCGAGGTCTTTTCTCCATTCCGGAGGTGATGTGGAAAAGGCTGCTGCCAAACACGCAGCCAAAATGAGAACCAAAAGAGGAATGTTCATTCTGAAAAGCTGAAAGATTCTGAGTAATTGATTGCTTCCAATGGAAGAGATGCTGGTGGTGAAGGATGCACTTACTTCCTTCTTTCCGTATTTATATGGTGCTTCTGGTCTTCAAAGATGACACAGGTGTGTGCGCTCGATTTCTATACATGGACGTCAGCGATGTAAAAAATCTATTTCAGCCTTTACACTGACGGGACTCTGCCATCCAAATGAATCAGATCAGAATCCAAATGTGCAGCAAAACACCCACGAACAAAATTGGATGAACTCCTTTGTCGTGCTGCATTGCCGTTAAGTCTGTCTTTTTTGCTTCCCAAATCCTAAAAACATGTGCTAACTCACTTTTCAGTGGAATTCCGCTCGATAATTGTGCTGCACACGCAAAATCAGCTTATTGTCTCATAACGTCACCTGCTCTACTCAACTTGGAGAAGACTGGAATTGAAATAAGGGTCAAGTGCGTGCCCAGACGAGATTGGATTGTTTTGCTAGCAGTTTAAATCTAGGGGTAAGCAGTGAACATGACAATGGCAGCCTTCTCTAGGATATGGATGGATCGGGGTCGCTCGTCTTGGTGAACTCCAGAAAGGGTTACTATCGCCTTTCGCTTGGCTTCTTATGAAGCACCGCATCTCTGGGCTCTTGTATAATCTGAGTATTATGCAAACACAGAAACGGGCTTGCAGAAATCATTTTATTGGCATAAGATCTTTAAAAGACGTTCACGACATTCACGGTTTCAAATGAAAGTCAGGGGTGTGGCGCATATCAGATTGGGGTCGAAGTTGAGTTTTTGCCTTCTTATTCATTAAAAAATGTTGATTGTAAAGGCATCGAGAGATGTGCGATGACTTCTATTAAATGGCTGGAAGATACTATTCAGATCGAAAAATTTTCCCGCATTAAAATCATGAAAAATTCCAACGTATTCTGATTAGTTTTAGAAATATGGCCATATCATTTTACACTTTCTGTTGTAATACAATTTGTTTTGAAGAAATATTATGTTTGAATAGTGACATTTCTAGAGGACTACTATCTCCGTTTCGATCGGACAACTTTTCTCGGCAAGGTTTTATTTTTGAAATATTGGCTGTAACAAGTACTTTGAGGAGTTTTAGTAAAGGCAAGCTCAGCCGTTTATAGCGTCCAAGCCCTTTTAATAAAATTCCGTTCCCAGAAGAGTCGTGGCTACCAAAGCTACAGCCCTCTAAATTTGACGGGTATATT